GTGACACTATTATTTTTGTAAAAAGACTCCTTCAGAGCAATGTTAGACGCTAATATGAGGAGGATGCCAGTCTTCTCCCTGGGTACCCTTCCTCCCCAACCATCCAGACCCCACCATCTTTCATGTCCCGCTCACAAAGCGATCCTTGATCCCCACAGCTGGAGTTAATCTCACCTCCTTAGAGCAGCCAGAGCACTTCACACTTGATCTGCAGCTGTTGAGATATTGTCTCATTTCCTTAAGGGTTGTAAGCTCTTTGAGGACAGGGTCCATGACTAATTCATTTTTGCATCCCTCAATATCACACCTAATAGATGCTCCATAAATCTCTGATGAATGAACTGGAACATAATACTTCCACTGTGTTAGGAAGCTGAGTCTGCGCTGGGCCCATAGTCTTAGAGATAAGCAAAATAGTCACACAGGTTTAGAATAGAATCATGAAACAAAATGTTGAAGGAGTGAGAGAAACAGAACCTATATCTGGGGGTGGGGGAAGGTCAAAGAAGTTCAGCCTAGAGAAGTGAGCTTGGGAAAGTGATACCAAGGGATCTTCAAACATATTGAATATTAAAGAGATAATATTAAAAGAAAGCCTGAAGTTCTCTTAATGGACCAAAACAAAAAATTACTCAGATTTTAATGGGAAACGTGAGTAAGTCTGATGAAGACCTACCAGAGTATAGATAGTAGGGTGGTGTGATGAAGGGTTGAGGTAAATGCCATGCCTTTTCCCATCCCAACAAGAATGACAAGAAGGACTCTGGTAAATTGTTTTTGCAAAATTACTTGTGAAACAATTGTGGTCTTTAAGTTTTAGGTTTTTTCTCCCCCAAGATGCTGAAACCTGTTTTAAAGGAAAAAGGGGATTTAGCCCAGGAAAGAATGGGAGAGACTCAGCCTGGGAGTTGGAAAGCAAGATGGGACCAACTGATGGAGAGAAAGAGCCTTTGATGTCCTGAGGATCAAGGACCGGGGCTTAAGGACCAGACTCTTAAATCACATGCCGTTTACTGCCCTAGATTAAAAAAAAAATACTTTTGTGGATCAGTGTCTGTGGTTCAAAATGGCAAGTTTCCAAAGTCAGTCTTAACTCTCCAAGGGTAACATTTGGAAGGCCCCCTGAAAGAGCAGAGTGGAGGCAGTTTCTACAAGGGGCAGCTTAATGATTTTCTACTCCCCCCACCCCCAAATCATTAAGCAGTGTTCCTTTCCCAGAGCCCAAGTTCAAGCTGAGGGCAAAGGGAATTAAACGAAGAAGCCGAAACTGCAGCTAAGATTAGGGAGTTGCCAAGGCCTAATTTTAGGCCCTTGCTGCCCCAGCTGACACCCTGCTCTGCTGGCTCAGTCTTGAGGACCACAAGTGTGGCCATCGGCTGGCGGCTGCGTGAGAAGAGCGTCTCCCCGGCCATCTGCAAAAGCAATTAGCTTGGTGATGGTGTGTTTTGAGAGAGACTCCCCATAATTTCTCCTTCAACAAATGTTTCTTCAGGTGTTCAGGAGTCAGTAAGGGAAAACGTCAGGGCTGGGCAGGAGTTTCCACATGCTTGCCATTCTAATATTCACGCTTCTCCACTTCAGAGTTTTCTCCAAAGGGGAACTAATCCTGGAATTCCTGGATTTTCATGGCAAGTAACCCTCTGATATCCACTGGCCAGAAGCTTACTGTCACAGCCTGGAGAAAGGGTTGCTCAGGACTTCTCAGGCTTTGTGAAAATGGACATGGATGGATGTGAGCAATTCTTGCATTTGGGAGAGAATATCTATGTCACTCCTACATTGAGATTTAGGCTGTCCTTCCACTTTGCACATATTTCCCACCTACAGGTTTCACGCTTAAACTGTCTTCTTCAGAGGGCAGACAGTAAGAGCTGGCATCTCCCAGATCAAAGGGGAAACAGAATATATTTTAAAGTGACAACTTTGTTATCCTGCAACCAGAATAATAAAATGATATAAATATAAGCCCCCAAATCATCCCATACTGAATTGTCACCAGAGAGCAAAATTTCTTGCATAATCATGGCAGGGAAACTCTCTTTACAAACCACTCACAAGAGCATGTCTTATTTTTGCACAATTCTTATGCCTGGGGCAACCCACCAGGGATGAGGATACAGCTTCTGTGTCTCTACTGGTTGGGAACTATGATAACTGGTTGGTGTTCTCTGTCTGCAAAGGAGGCTCTTAATAAAGGCTCATTACCATGGGCAATAAAAAAGTACTCTGGTGCTGCCAGGCCAAGGGAATGCATTCTCTAGAGCACAGGTGGCAAACACAAGGCCCGCGGGCTGAATCCGGCCCTCCCCTTTGTTTTATCTGGCCCAACACCTTGTTTTTCTAGCCGGTGGCAGTGCCAAGCTTTTACTTAGCTGTTGAGGAGTAGTTACATTTATACAGTCCTAAAATCACATTTGGCCCTTTCAAAGCAACTGTGAGACTGATGTGGCCCCCGGTGAAAATGCATTTGATACCCCTGCTTCACTGGATGTGCCCTTGGCCAGGGCCACTGCCGTTGAGGTGCACAAACCGGCCCCAGCTGCTTCTCTCTCTTCCTCTATATTTCTTTCCAATTTTCCTGGTAGATTTGCTTTCCCTGTCTACTTGTCCCAAGTCCCATCTGTCGGTCTGTCTCTAAACCTATTTCTGCACCCCATCCCACATGCGCACACACATATACACACACAACCCCCAATCCCGCCCCCCTTCCCCTGTCTCTTGGCACTGGCCCTTTCATCTTCTCCCTCAGGGATTTGAGATGTCGCTGCAGGAAGTGCTTGTCGGCCCAGGCAGCAGCAGCAGAGCCCCGTGGCTTTGACAAACCTCATTTAATTGGGAGGAAGCCAGGAGAATTTGAAAGACCTGAAACATCCATGAAACTCCTTTTATCAGGCATAATTTAAACTCTGCATGGAAAAACCCCTATATGTATAAAGAAAAGTCAACTTCCCTCCTGCTGTGAGCGCTCTTCCTCTCCCCCAGCACAGGCAGCCTCCTGCAAGATTCCATCTTTTCATATTTCTAAAAGTGTCAAAGTAGATTTGGGCTCTGTGGCTGGGCGAACAGAGAAGGAATACAGATCGGTCTCTCTCTTACACCTGCATGTGTGCGCGCACACGCAAGCAGAGCCCCTCCGTTGGTGGCTTTGTTTTAGATGGCCAGGAAAACCCAAAACTCAAATTTCTAACAACACGTCAGTTTGGATAGCGATTGTTTCTTCCTAATTATCCTTCATCAGGCAAAAGCTGATGCCCAGAAAACTTTGAAGATCCCAGCAGTTCTCTGTATGTGGAATAATAGGTCCTGGAGGAGGGCCAATGGGAGAAGTTTCTTTAAGTGGAGAGAGGAGAATGTGAGAGCATGAGAGACAGAGAGAGAGAGTGTGTGTGTGTGTGTGTGTGCATGTGTGTGTGTGTACACCCCAGCTGGTATACTTGCCTGAAGTGGTAGTTAGAAGTCCTAAGCCTGAGAGAAGAAAGCTAACAAAGAGAGATCTAGGGGCTCAGCATGGGAAGAGGGAATGGGATGGGAGTGGGGAGGGGAGGGGATGACGTGAGGGGAGAGGAACCAGGAGGGTACCAGTAAGAATTATAGGTCTCCTGGAATGCTTTTTATTCCACCCACATGCCAAACCATGTCCCTTCCCTCCTTTCAAATTCCACTCCAGATTCACCTCCAGTCTCATCCATCTCACTTGACTTATTCTGGTTCCTCCAAAGAATTGCCTTCAGCACACACACATTCTCTGAACATCTGCAGCTGATTATGCACAGACTGGAGCTGTTTAGATATGATTTGTGCTAATATGTGTACGAGGGTGCCCTGTTTCCTCTTCCTCACCCTCTTTTCCTCCCACACCGTGGGATCCTTGAGGTCAAGGACAAGCCTCTTTTTTCCCTCAATTTTTATAGCACTTAATATGTTTTTGACACTTAATGGCAACTTAATAAATACTGATGACTGACTCTTCTCACAGGGTTAAGTAAGACACATTAACCCCAGTTGTATGATTCTGGTTATTTCTGGAGATTGTAAATGACTCCCTTTAATAATAAAGTACCTTGAGAAGTCCCAAACTAAGCACTTTGAACCACTGCAGGACAATGTCCTCAATACAGTGTGGTGTGGCGTGTGCAAACCCTGGAGACTTTGGCCAGGCCATATGTCCCAGGATCTTGCGCAGAAGCTTCCCATCCCATTCTAGTACCTTTTTCCCAGTCCGAGTCCATAGGCCTTCCTTGTTAGCTTTCTTCCTTCCAGCTTAAGACTTCAACCAGTGGAATGGTGGGTGTTTTCAAAGAAACCCCACCTAAGGATAGTTTCCCCCATCGGCCTGGGCCGTGACCACACTGCCCACATCCTTTGCAGAGCCCTTCCTGGCCACATTCTGAGAAACATGAGGAGCGCTCCAGCCACATGATCCCTCAGCAGATTTCAGATTTGGAGGATGACTTCAGGCCCAGGCAGCTAAGCTGATTTCGGGGTAACTTGTGTTTCCCGTGGGCGTCTGGCCTGGGAGGGTGTTCCCCTCCCCGCGGCGCCCCGCCCCAGTACTTCCCGTGGCAGCATCAGATTACCAACCCAGACAGGCCCAGCTCTCTTCTCTGACATATCCATGTCCCCTATCATCTTACTCTCTATGGAAAGAGAGAAGGGGGTTGTTAGAAGCTTTGGTTTTGCTTTTCCTGGCAGATGGTAGTGAAAGTAAACTCAGAGGCAACCTTCATCTCATCCAGTTTCTAAGGGTAAGTGTGCAAATGGGATCTGTTTAGATCAGTACAAAGAGGCCTGTGTCACCTCAATCCATCAGTGCTTTTGAGTTTTAGAGAATCGCATGCAACACTCAAGCAAGATTGCGTCCCACCTTGCTTCTCCTGGGCAAATTGGCCGCTAAGCTTACATTTGGTTGTAAATTCTATGATTCACCAGTGCTCAGAGGAAACGCTCAGACACCAAGACCATGTGTACGCACATACACACACACACACTCCCTCACTGACCATCAGGAAGCTGGTGCAACTGAGATGGCAGGGAGCTGAAATAATCATGAGCCAGAGCTTCCCGGGCGGAGACGCGGTCTCTGGGAAAGCCTTTCAGCATCAGTGAGGCCAGGGCTTCAGCTTCAGGGATTCTACCCAACCTGAAAAAATGGAAGAAAAGAAGAGAGTTTCTCCAGAGGCCTCCCTTCTGATAAATAAAAGGGGAGAGAAGAAAAGTAAAGAAAAGGAGATGACTGGAAGAGGGTTTCCAATAGAATTTTCCTGGGATTAGTAAAGTTGATGGCAAGTGGAAAAATAGTCTCTACAATGAAACTATTACCTGTCCAGTTACTAAGAAGAGAAAAAAGCTCAATATTCTCTCATTCAACGCCTACCCCCACTCCCAGCCTCCGTAATGTCTCTGGCACCATGTATACATAAAGGATGCAGAATTATAATTATAGAAACAGAAATATATAATTAAGGATTCTCCTTTGAGGAACACAGCAGCCTCTACCAAGCAGAAAAGCCAGACTGGAAATACACTTCAAGGGCAGCAAGCATTGACTCCTGAAAGGGGAAGAGGAAGAGAGACAATTCTGGAGGTTAAAGCTTGGGTGGAAAACACCCTTATATATAGTGTTTCTGAAGCTCAATTCCCAGGGTTATTAGCTAAGATGTTCTCTTGACTCTTCATGAGATGGAGCATAGGAAGAACGATAAGTAAGTACCCAAATTACAGTAAGGACAGATCCTCAAGTTGACCTCATGTTGAATTATCAGTCTGGGGATGCACAAATCCATCAGTTGAGTAACTACTGTGTTAGGAGATGGCTGGCTCTGAGAGATACAGGCAAGACTGTGCCCTCTGGCAGCTTGGTCTAGTAGAGGGATGAGACACTCGTCAACTTACCATATAAATGTATAAGTACAACTGTGAAGAAAAAGGCCCAGATATCTGATTGAGAGTGGGAGGAGCCAGTCAGGGAAGGCTTCCCTGAGGAAGCCACATCTGAGCTGAGAGCTGAGGAATTGGAGTAGGTGACGTAGGCAGAGGCCTGTGGTGCTCATACAGACCCTGGACTGGGAGCGAAAAGAGTGAGTTTAAAGGAAGAAAGGCCAGTTGGCTGGCCTAGACAAAGAGTGGGAGAGGGGCCAGATATGAAGCTAGAGAGGGTTGCAGGGGCTAATCCTCCAGGCCTTGTGGGTCTTCACGTTTCCTATGTACTTATAATGTTTGAAAATCTTTGCTAATCTACCGTCAATTGTTTAAGTACGTACATCCATCTCTAGAGCCCACAGAAGGGTTTACAAGTGGAAAACCACAAGACAGAAAACTGCAGGTCCCAGGAGGCAATTAACCACAGGACTGATGCCTGACATTCAGAATTAAATTGCATGGCCATGCAAATCCCCAATTAAACAAAAATAGATGGGCTGATTTAATGTCAAATATACATACCAATCTGAAGCAACAAAGAACTGATACCCATTCCCTTCCATGAGGCAGTGAGGTTGGAAGTCCTTGCCCAGAGTGGTAATTTGTGTAATTTTTGCGTAGGATTTAACATAAGAAACTTTCAGGTATCTAATTCCCAGGACATAAAACTGTTTCTACAAACAGGTAACTTTACCCTCAGACTCAGAATTAATTGCTTTATAGATTTAAAGAAAAAAATTGCAAATCCCCAGTCCTTGCAGATTTCCGGGCCAGTTAGGAGACAAGGAAAGCTGGGATGGAGGCCTGTTTAGTAGCTACGGCCTGAAGAGGGGCTGGTGGGTATGGGCGCCCTGCCCGGCATAGGTTTTCAGGGCTAACAAAATGGGGTTTGGAATGGGGAAGCTGGTACAAATCACTGGGGCCCAGTATTACTCTGGAAGGAGATTCAGGGAAAACTTTGCAAAGAAAGTGTCATTGTTTCACCCTCCCTACAGGGTAGTGAAGTGGGACATATGCCAAACTTGGGATATGAATCCACTCTGTGAATTTCCAGGGGGCGGGTGGGTGGATAAGTGATTGTGGTGAGGACAGAGTGATGCATCTATCAGCATCCGCCTCCACCCTAATCAGTGATTCGTTCTCTCTGCACACTCCCATCCAATGGCTCATAATTGAGTTGTTGTAAAATTCCTCTGTAGAAGAGGCTGAGGAGCTGCAATCTGATTGGATAAGGAAGGCATCAGGATCCGTTTTGAACTGGTGTTAGCATAGCATGCATGCTGTTTTTGTTTAGACTGTATTTATGACGGATGGCTGGGGAAGCCACGAAAAGCTCACGGGGATAGTAGGGACACATAGGAAGGACAGGCCACTTTTAACAGAACATTGAAAGGAGAGTGGTAATATAAGGACTTCTTTTAAAGACTTTCCTCTTCTAACTAACTAACCCTCTCCCCACTCTTCCCATGAGGCTTCTAGTGGTGCTGGGATTTGTCAGTCCTGTGGCCTCCAGACTCTGACTGCCACCACCCACTTCTCCTGCTCCTTAGCTGGCAGAGGCAGTGACCAGGGCAAAGCACACAAATGAAGTCTTTTCCTTCTGTGAGCCAACTTCATGTTTGTCTTCCCTGTGTAAGCCAAATCCATGCCCTTCTTGAACACAAGACTTTACTAGCAGCTCACAGTGGGGCCTCTCAATCTGGTCAAGCGTCCTAATAATCTCTTGCTCTCGGCATGTTGCACTCATTTGGGAGCTAAAAAAAGAGCCCCAGGGATACAAATGTTGCTTCGTTGGGCACAAATGATAATTTTTTCTCCATGTTTCTTTCATTTTGCTTCTTTCTGCCATCTCTAGTCTTGCTTACTATGGACTACCTTTATTGCCTCATTTGTATAGTTTGAGACCCACTCCAACTCCTACTAGGACAATTATTCACTGGTTACAACCTCTACTTTGGATATGAAAGTTGTCATGAAAAGTGAACATCACAAATGTTAATTGGCCTACCAGTGCCTTTCCATATAGGCTAAATGTTAATAAATATTATTTGTTAAGTTTGTGATATTAACTACCAAACATACCTGAAGTATCTTGCAAGGTTAAGAGAATCCACCAACCCAATTAATGAGAGTCTGTTAATAAAGACAAAGAGTCCTCTGCTGAAACTCTCCTTCTAGTAACATTTCAAGAAGTGTTCCATTGTTCTACTTATTGTAGAACCTTAGGAAATATAGAGAGAAAAATTAAAACTCTCCCATCATTCTTAGATAATTCCCTTCACCCAAAGATAATCTCCATTGCTTTCATATTCATTTTTGTCTTCTTTAGTCCTTTATTTTTATGCTGTTTCTTTCTTGTTTTACCTAAAAATGGGATCATACTCTACATGTTGTTATAACCAATTTTTTTCCCACTTGACTGTCTTGATCATCTTCCCAAGACTTGGAGGAATAGCTTCCTAGGACATAGCACTCCATTATGTAGACATGCCATGACCTACATGGTCAGGCTTTTATTGGAGCTGTTTCTCTTTTTTGTTAGAGTGTGAGGGGCTACTATTGAAATCATGTTGTGACAAATATCCTCAAAGAGTAATCCTTGTGTACTTGTGTGATGGTTTTCTTAGTACACATTCTGAGAATTGAAATTCCCAGGTTGAAGAATATACATGTTAAAAAATTTTCTTAAGAACATCATTTTCTATTTCTACCAGCATTCCAGGAGAGTTCCTGCCTCTGTGAGCAAGGAAAACAAATTCATTCCAGCTGACTTGAATTGCCACAGGCCCCATTGCCTATATGAGTTGTAAAGAAAGATTAAAATTATAAATTGATCCTACAAGATGTGCTGGGTGAGAGGACATCCACCTTTAATTTTTGAAGTTCAGAATAGCAACACAAACTATGAGAACAAATAAAGATCAGGCTTTGTGGTGGTGTAAAGCACCACCAACCAGCTCATCACTCCACACATCTAAAATCTGGTGGTTCTCAGGAACCTGAGGCAACGGCACAACCGGTCTCTGAGTATAAAAATCTCCCACTGCCATTGCTGCCTGGTATCAACCTTGACAGTGGAAGGGCTTTGTCTGTTTGCTGCACAAGGCTGGTCACTGAGTTCAGCTGGGCTCTTTGTTGTTTTCCCCTGGAGCCATAGAAAGAGAAAAAAGGCAGGGATAGAATGGGCACTTTTATTTCTCAATTTGTTTTTATTTTGAAGTAATTTTAGGTTTACAGAAGATTTGCAGGCATAATGCAGAGAGTGATCTTGTACGCTTTACCAGCTTCCCCTAATGTTAGCATCTTCCCTAACCACGGTAAAATGATCAAAACCAAGAATTATTATTGGCACAATACTATTTACTAAGCTGTGGGCTTTATTCAAATATCTTCATTTTTTCTCTAAGAATGACCTTTTTGTTGTTGTTTCGGGAGAGTGGGTACTTCTTTAATGCTGTCGATCTAGGACACCCCCAGTGAGAAACGTATCCAACACCAGGGACAAACAACACCAAAGAAGCTGTAATGTCCTAATCCGTCTAGCACGTGCGTGTGCACTTGCCAGGCCCATTTTAATCGGGTCACCACCAAACCCCAGGCACGCCCCAGGCCCTGGGGGCATTTATAGCCCTGCACAGATCTGATGCACCTTGGCTAAAATCATGTAGAAAAGCCAGTGACACCTTGACTGCTCTTCACTCATCACACTTGTGACCTGACTCAACTGACAAAGCCACAGAGCCCTGGGTACTGGGTGAATCCTGGCTCTATCTCTTAGCTTGACGACCTTGGCTAAGCGACTTAACTTTTTTGAACCTCAGTTTCTTCCTCTTCAAAGTGGGAATGAAATTTGTGAGGAAAACATGAAATAACAAAACAGCATGGCAGACATCCCACCTAACAATAGACCTTTTTCAATGCCAAAGACCTTGCCAGAGCCAGGAATTGTCTTGGGTGATAACCTAGGCCAGTGTTACCCAATAGAACTTTCTATAAGGATAACACTGTTTTATTTCTGCCCCGTCCAATAGTGTAGGCACTACTCACATGTGGCCACTGAGCCCTTGAAATTTCACTAGAGTGATGAAACAGCTTGAATTTTATTTTAATTAATTTGAATTTAAATAGCCACATGTGGCTAGTAGCTACTGTACTGGACCACACAGCTCTAGACATTACTCGTTGCTCCGAGGATCTAAGCAAAGAGAAGCCAGAAGTCCAGACTAAGACAAAGGTATTGCTGGGAGCCAGGCAATGGGCAGAGGTGCTGGGTGTTGCCCATGGTCAGAAAAGTCAGAGGGATGTTCAGCTAATTCAAGTCCTGCTCAGCCCTAGAAGGAAGCTGACGGCTGGTGGCCCTTTCTTCTGTCATGCGACAGTGCCAGCAGTAGCTGCACAGGGCGTTAAGGTGGTCTGCAGGTTTGCAGTTAAACATTAAGCCAACAGTGAAATGGAAGGAAGCCACAGGACAGTGCTAAAATACAACTATGTCCAGGTAGGAGTTACCTGACTATGCAGGTAAGAGAAAGTTTGCACATTTAAAAAGAAATGATAAACAGCAGTTCCCTGGTGCCTGTCCCCAAAACAGCAGGGGCTTTCAGGTGGTACCGTGAGTTTGAAAATAAGTGTGGAGTGTGCAGACATCCCGATGGGGGCTGGGGAATGTGCCTCCCAATAAGAGGTCCTTTGGTGACCTGTCGTTCTCTATTCTGCTCTGTGCTGACAGTCATGCCATGTGGAGGCTTTCTGAAGCACACGAACACTAAGCCTGGAGAAATCAGACAAAACGGGGTTGAGTTCAACTCTACCACATTTGCAGGGAAGAACAACATTCGAATGTTCAGCTGGGATTTCTTCCCCTGCTCCCCACCTGCAAGAGTGTGTTTTTCTTTGACATTTGAGCTCGCTTCCCCTGTCTCTGATGTTTTCCTCACTGCCCTTTTTGCCTCTTCACTGAAGCAAAAAGAACAGAGCCTCGGCTAATTACTCTCAGATCAAATAATACTGGTTATTGTAATTGGTCATTGTCCGAAAACACTGAGTTCTTCTTAGCCTGGAGGTTGCCTGGCACGGCTTAGTTAGCTAACTATTCCGGGAATGTCTCTATTATCTGTTTTACTTTGCAAAAGAAACTAGGGATTTGTTGAAAGCTGGTAATAAAAGTCTGCCCTGGTCCGAGCGAGTCTGCGTAGAGAGGGCCTGGGAAAGCATGACCTCCGTGAATCAAGCTCCCCCATCCCCTCCAATAGCCACTCAATGATGTTATTTGGTTTCTCTGTGTCAGAGAATAATAAACCCACTAGGTTTTCTTGCAGGCCAACACTCCCTCATTCTCAGGGCCTTGGGCATAGTTGAGGGGCACAAAACAATTTTAATGACTAATCTTAGTGCACGTAAAATGGTTCATAGAGAAAAACTAACAGACTCACAGGAGGCTGGCTCTCCCAGAGGTATCTTCCAGGGGCCTTCAGACTGAGGTGCTCGGTGGCCTGAGGTTCAGGGAAATGTCCCTCCAAATCCTGCTAAAAGATAGGCTTTCCGAGGTGGTGCTTACCTATTCCAGACTCGCTGAAGGCTTTGAGGTTTAGACAGCGGGAACCATTCTGAAAAGCACACATGGACACATTAAAAAACAAAACAACCCTAAAATTCTGTTTCCAACAATATTCAAATCCTAAATGTTCTTCTTGGCTTGGAGTAAGAGAGAATTCAGGTATCAGGTAAGCAAAGTAAATGATGTTTAAGGCCTCTTTCACTATGAATATTTGATGAGTCTGTGTAAGGTCACTATTGTGCATTGGATGGTTTCTCCCTTCCCCCAAATTCATATATTGGAGTCCTAACCCCTCAGGATTTGACCTTATATGGGAAGAGGGTGACTGCAGACATAATTAGTTAAGATGAGGTCATTAGGGTGGATCTTAATCCAATATGACTGATGTCCTCATAAAAAGGGGGACAGGGACAGTCATGGACAAGGGAAGATGATGTGAAGAGATGCCAGAAGCCAGCCATCTGCAGGATAGGCCTGGAACAGATCCTTCCCTCGGAGCCCTCAGAAGGAGCCAATTCTGCCAACACCTCAATCGCAGATCCAGCCTCCAGAAGAGTGAGACAGTAAATCTCTGTGGGTTTGTGGTATTTAGTTACGGTGGCCCTAGCAAACCAATATAGTCACTATGTTCAGTAAAAGTCAACGAACATTTATTTAGCATTTACTGTGTGCAGAGCACATACCAAGTGCTTGGAGAATACAAAACAAGTGAAAAGGAATTTCCCCACCCTCTCAGAGCTTATAATTCATTTGCCCCGTGAAAAATCATGTGACAGATGATGGGGCAAAGTCACACAAGTGGTAAAAAGTAACAGGGAAATTTCATATGTCACTTGTAGTAAAATTGGAAGTGAATCCTGACTAGAACGATCCAAAATGGATGACAATAAAATTTGTAATTATGTTTGGAGCACGCGTTATAACATTTACATGTGGTTACATGTGTTTCTACTATTCTTGGTATTGACACTAGCCCAAAAGAAAACCACCATAAAGGAAACAATTCTCATTCATTCAGGAAATACTAACTGAATGCTTCCTGGATCCCAGGGCCAGAAGAGGAGCGACAGGGGCATAAGCTGATGCTCCTCATCACATCCCTCTGTTTCCCACTCCAGTGAAAAGAGTGCAAGTCAACTCTCATGTAAACGGATGTTTTCGCCTTATTCTTTTCTTGGGCCTGAAGTGTAATTGTTTTGGTTTGAAAAGATCTCTTACTCCAGTTCTGACAGTAATCAAATACACCAAGACTGTTTACCCAACAAAGCATTTAATTGTATTTGGACAAAGACCAATTTGATAATGCTGACAAATTCATCTACATGTATGTACAGAACATGACCCAGGAGACTGCTCACCAGACTCTGATAGTGGTTACACAGGGCTTTCCCTTTCTTACTTCTACATTTCTTTTCTTAAATTTGTTTTTGTCAATAAAAACCACATATTATTTTGAAACTTCAAAAGTAATTTCAATTAAACATGGAATTACAGTGTTGTATGAAAGGAGAGAGGTTAGCGCCCCACTTGACAAGGATGGAAGGGGCCCTCTGGCCTAACTACACACATGCAGTTCCGGGTCCCGGCAGGGCCACCTACTTCATGGCCTCTGACCACTGTTTTCACGGTGGGGAAAAGGGCAGGACAACTGTAACTGAACAACAATAATTTTTTTTAAATGGAATTATAGTGGTAACAGTAGTAGAGTAGAAGGAGTGGTTAAAGAAAGTGATCAAAGCTGAGTTTTCAAGGTCAGATGCAATCAAAGGTGGACCCCTCTGCTGGCTTTTGATGGTCCCAGGGGGGGCACCAAGGGAAGCACTTGTAGGTAAAGGTCTGTGTGCAGATGACTGTGCGGTAAACTCAAGTAACCAGTGAAGAGAAGAATTGCTGGCATTTCAAATGTTTGATTTCCAAATCACTTTCTGCTGCTTGTTTCCAGTCCTTCCCTGACCAAACCAAATTAAAATAGTTCTTCGTTCAGTCACATCTCAATTTCCAGTGAACATAATGAGATCCATTTCAATCCTCTCCCATGTTCTGTTTTTCCCTACTTAGAGCCCTGTGTGTTGCTTGGCTGTCAGTATTTAACACTATTCCTAACTTTGGCGTTGTCCTTGTGGAACATGTGTTTGGAATAAATTGAATTAGGGTTTGAACACTGAACCTAGGGTTTGAAACTGCTGCTTCAGTTTCACTGAAACCTTAAGCAAGATACTTTAACCATAGCCAGCCTGTTTCCTTAACTCAAGTTGGAGGTCACATTCCCTTCAAAGGATGAAGTGATTCGCTGAATTCATCGATTCATTGAGATAATGAATATAAAGTGCCTTCCCCAGGGCACTAAACAGAGTAAATCCTGTTTGCTTCTCTTCTTCTTATTCTTCCTCTGAAAGGTGATGGGCAATATAAACCATGTGTGGTTAAGACCCTGGACCCAGGTTTCAAATCCACACTGTGCCACTTACCAGCTGTGTAGCCTTAGGGTGCTGCTTAGCCTCATTGGACCTCAGTCTTCCCTTCTGCAGAAGGGGGATAATTCTAGTCCCTACTGCGCAGGGTCACCATGAGAAATAGGATCATGAATATAATACAAGTAATTCCTGGTGCGTTGCCTCTGTTCTTTCTGTCTTTTCTCTTGTTCGATGTACCTACCACACTTTTCTCTCTCCTCTCAGGTATTTCTAAGTAACTCCAAAGTTTTCAAATCCATAAAATGGGAATAATTTTCCCACTTGTATGGGAGGATTAGAGAAGATTACACACTTTATGTGTAGTAGGGGGCCAATAAATGTTAGTCTTATTCATAGCTTTTTTTTTCTTCTTGTCTTTACTTCTCATTTGAGAGAGTTAGCGTGGTCTGACAGAGTGCTTCTCCAGCCAAGCTGTACATTAGCAGCCATTGCTCGAGAAAGTTTTTTGATTCGCCAGTCCTGGGGAGGACCCAGCATTAGTCCACTGTGGTGGTGTTATTATTGTCTTTAATGGTCTCCAGATGTTTCCAGTGCGGCGCAAAGTGAGTCAGAGGAGGCTGGTCTAGCAAGGAAGGCAGGGATGACCCCTCACCAGCGACTCCCACACACTTCTCAGTGATCTTGTTGGGAGAACTCAATTAATCAATGCATATAAAAATTGCAGAACATAGAGTCTGACTCATATGAGATATTTTTCAAGGATGGGAAAGAAGAAGCCCGATAAGAGAAAAATCAGTTTGCATAAATTCTACCAGTAAAGGATGACCTGTTAGGAGTTGCACCAGGACACAATGTAATAACATTGAACTTGAGGTTCCATGTGTTGCATAGACTGGGCCTGACTCTCTTCCCACATCTATTTTGTGGCTGCATTAGCTGAGATAGAGGGATTAGTGTGTCCAGAGTCATTCAGGTTGCGGTTATGAAGCCCAGCGCCTGTTCATGGCCGCCTGTCCCACTCCTATGCAGATAACCTGATGCTGATTGACCTTGTCTCTCTCCCATTGATTTTTCCGCCAGTAGTTAAGCTGCAAGCGATCAATGAGAGAATGATCCACAAACAAACACATTTTACACAGTCCAATTTCAAGAGGAGTCTGTTTCTCTGGCTTCAGTAGTCTCTAAAAATCATAAGTCTGTAGGCAGCTTATTTCCCTTCCCCTACCAAAGCTGACAGTAAATCTTGAGACCAGATTTTCCTCCTGCAGTTCTCTTTAAAAGAGTTCAATTTGGAGTTCAATTGGAATCTGAGGTAGGAAAAGCAAAATGACCTACAAAAAGAAACTTAAAAAGCTGAACACTTAAATTTCCCAACTAAATAGAGTAAAATTAAAATGATGGCAGAACTGTTGTTGCCACAGTCAAATAACGCATTTTTTCGTAAATATTTAAGAAAGCTCATTTCAAGAACAGTAACCTTGGTTAACAGAGATTTGTTGGTTGGTTGATAAAATATCACCAGGACCATTCTGAGTCTTACCTCAAGGTAAAACATTTTCTAGTTACTATAGTTTTGTCACAATCATCCTAAGGTTATCTTATAAGTGCTGTCTACTGAGCTACACCTCTGGAATTTCCCAAATACAATGCATTCTTCAGATACCGTATATTTAAATAGTTGATAATGTTGTTAGCCTTATTTCACTATCTCAAGCAGTAACTTTAAAACTGCACCACAAAAATCTGTAGCTCTTCTGTCTCCACCTGCCCCCCCCCAATACATACATTCACACCCTCCCAGCTGCTTGCTTCCCTCTTCCTTTGGTGCCTGGCCTGGAAGCTTCCTTAGTCTTTGGCTCAAAGAGTCTAAATTTGGCTCTTCTGATGCTTTGCATTAGCAGACTTTAGACTCCTGTTTGGGCGTCATCGGGATGCCAAAAGGCAATGTTCTCACTGAGAGTGTTCCTTGGCATTTGAGCCTGGCACTCCCACACACATTTGTGGTTTATCACTTTTCTAAACCTGCGTCAAAACTTTCTGTGGATTTGAAGAAAATATTTCATGCTCTGATGCCTACCCCTAAGGTAATGGTCTCGGGGAGGAAGGGGAAGCCAGGCCTTGCTTGCTGTGGGTGGAGGGGGTGACAAAGCCAGGAGTCTCTCCCCTTTGCCCAGGACCTTCCCATGTTTAATGCCTGTCCACACCCACAGATGGTGTTTGAGCTATAGCTTGGCCACTCGTTGTTGGTGGTATTTAATAATGCACCATTTGATGACACTTGCCATTTTGTAGGAGTCTCAACAAATGTTTAAGGCCCTCCACAGAGAGGCATTGTCCTCAGCACTGGGAATACACAGACATGTATGTATTGAACTTGAGCTTCCCTCAAAGAGCTTATGGCCATATGATTTGGGTGGTATATCGTCATCATCACCATCATCATCATCTGGTCTTCTGCAGCTGCTCTGGATGTTCCTTCTCAGCTTCCAGAGACCCCTTTCTCCTTTGCCTGATCCTTAGTACTGGTCCCCCAGGGTTCCAACACAGTCTTCTTTCTCTATACACTCTCCCTTGAGGAATTGAATTCATACCCAGGGCTTTAAATAACACTTTAAGCAGATGACTTCCACTTTTGTATTTCTAGATTGTATTCTTGTAATCATAGGCTTGTATTTCTAATTGTTTCCTAGGTATCTCCATTTGGTGGCCCCAGAAATAACCTAATCTCAAAATGTCCAAACCTTATACTCATTACCTTCTCCACAAACCTGTTTCTTCCCCCTTTTATTACCTGTGCCAGAGGAAGGCGCTGTCATTCTTTCACCCACTGCAGATGCATTTTCCCTTACAGCTTAAATCCAACCAGTGACAACTTTCCCTTCTTTATTGATTTGTCCCTTCCATTCTTTATCCATTGCCATGGCTCTAGTTGAGACTTCCTGCTTGTCTTCTAGAATGAGGCAAGGGTGTCCAACCTTTTGGCATCTCTGGGCCACATTGGAAGAAGAAGAGTTGTCATGGGCCACACATTAAATACACAAACATGAATGAAAACAGATGAGCAAGAAAAAAGGTTTTAGGTAAATTTATGATTTTGCGTTGGGCCACATTCATAGCTATCCTGGGCTGCATGCAGCTGGCACGCTGTGGGCTGGACACTCCTGAAGAGCATTGTCACAGTACTTCTGTCCAATTTAATTCTACTTATAATGTCCTAAACCATTCTTCTAGAATGGAAGTCCTGCCATATCACTTCCCTGCTAACAATCATTCAATTCCTCTCTTTGTTTACTAGTCAAGTCCAAATCCTTTGGATGATTATAGAGCACTTCCCTATCTGGTCCCCATCTACCCTTATAGGTTAATTTCCAGCAATGTCCTACCACAAAACAATTTACCTGCTTGGTATATTAGCAAATATACCTGCTTTCCTACTCCTCTCTATCAAGTTCCTTTGTCTAAAATGTTCTTTTACTCTTGTGCACCTGGAAAAAGCCCACTTAATCATCTTTGAGACCCAGCTCATACCTCTTTCTCTCAAACGATCCCTAGAATTCCCCAGGCAAACCAAGGGTGCCTTTTTCCTAGTGTTCCTAGGGATCCCCAGGGGGTATTAATACTTTCCACATGGTATTATTTATTGTTCCCCCTCCAGACTGTATGCCTTGAAGGCAAGTATCAATGTCTTATTTAGTCTTTAATCTCCCAGTCCCAACACCTAGCATTCAATAAATATTTGTTGAATGAATGGAAAATTGATGCTTGGGTAAAAAAGAACAGTGAAATAAATTTACTAAACCCTATTCTTAAAATGCAAAAGTATCTCAAGAAAGCCCACATGTGTGTCCTGCTCTGTGTCTTACAGAGGTCAATGACCCACAGCTCTGGCCATGGAGGTGGGGAAGGGGCCTCCAGTTTGAGTCACTTTTATGATATTTGGAATCTTAAGACTCCTTTTCTTGAACTAGGAAGAAACATAGGAGGGTTTTACTTGAAAACAACTTTTTAACTTGCTTTTACTCATTTGCAATTTTTCCTAATCTTAACTACTTAAAGATCATCTAGTCCTCCTCAATAAGACCTACTAATTGCCACCAAATAAATTAAAGATGAGGAAATGAAAAATAAATGTAGAAACTAGAAAAAACTATTAGTGAAGATCAAAGGGGGCTGTGTATCTAAATGGATTTCCTTGACTGATTTGGGGGAGG